AGAGTTTTTTCAAAATGTGACATGCGTTTCTTCTGCTCTATACGTTTTCTTACCGTCCTTTCCATCACATATTTTACAACAATTCAGAGAGTCGTAAGGAATAGCTTTTACACAATAGGCGAAGAAGCGGGGGGATTATTCCAATGGTCTTGCGAGTTTGGAGTATTTCATCTTCTTCAAAAGGGGAGGAAAAAAAAAAAACTGTGTCCTTGTGAGCAAATGATTAGAAGAAGACTGGGAATACAATAATTACCCCAAATGGAAACCCAGACCGCAGTCAAACAATACAGCTTTTGTAAACCGGCTCCGCCTGTAAAAAATCTAGGAAATCTCATAACTAGAGCTGGCGAAATCCTTTTCTTATGCAACGATATGTAAAAGGCTCCTGAGAAATGAGGAGTAAACATGGAAACGCTGTAAAATAGCATGATAATGAACTTGCTCTGAGCATCGGAGATCGCCTTGGCGGTACCAGCATGGATTCCTTCAACCACAAAGTATTTTCTCATGTTAAAGAATTTGGGACAAATTACATTTCGTGACATTTCGCCAATAAACAAGCACGTGAAGACAAATAAACCGGGACTCGCCATAATCTACCTTGATCGTTGTGGAATTCAAGGGGGACCGAAGGAGTTGGGAGCGAGACAGAGTGCGGCTTTGAATGAATGTCCTTTATGAGGGAGCGGAGAGAAGATCATTTATATCCTTCATATTTTATAGTTTTGCCTCTAGGAAAGAAAAGACCAGCGGAGCCCCGACTATCATTTACTCATAATGATCGCATTCAATCTACTGATTCACAGTGAATCATATAATAAGGTTTCCATTTTGCACATGGGGAGAAGAAGGAGGGGTGGTTAAACTTTGTTTAGTTCGCATTCATGCCCCCGGCCTCCTGTTTCCCTTGAACTGTCCAGTTCAAATGACTCACCCACGGGGCGATGCTTTTTTCGGTGTTTTTCCTCTATTCCCCCCCCCCCTTCGGTTACCTCCCCAGCAATAAAAAACCCTGGAAGGAAAGCTGACAGGTTAATTGTGCAGTTATTCATTTTCCTACGGCAGCGTTTCATCCGAGCACGGATGAGGCTTTCGCGGCCTCTCGGGGCCGTGCCGTGCCGTGCCGCTCCGGCGCTGGCTCTGCCCCGGCGCAGCG